TCTTTTTTTTTTTTTTTTTTTTTTTTTTTTTTTAAATAGAGTCTGCAAAAATAACATCCTATCTAAGGATACATGTTATGCATGTGATCCAAAGCCCGCCCCCTTCTGGGTTCAATGCGGTGTTACATGTGGAAACTGGCCAGGGTAAGTCGCGTTGATTGTAATGTCATTAAATATGTTGACACACGTTGCCATTTTTAAACTGGAACGCGTCGAATAAACAACATAAATAGGTATATCCGCCCTGTTGCTGTGTGCTAACTCATAACGTGGCTCAATAATATAAATAGTACGTTTATCCGCCCTACAGAGTTTTAAATTAAATTATTACTTGTTTTTTTTTTTTTTAAAGTTGATTTTGACATTGCAGCAGTTGTGAGTAGAGACTCGTAGAAGGAAACTAACACATGGATCACGTAACGGTGCTCCAGTGGCGTAGCGAGAGTTGGTGTGACCCGGTTATGGTTAACTCGTGATCCAGCCACCCTCACACCACCTTCCAGGATATATTTCTTCTTATTAAAATAAGCTCACAGTATAACAATGTTTTCATTTATTTACTGATTCGATTCATGTACTTAGAATCACCCAAGCAATTCGCATTTAGTATCAATTGAAAGCTTTATTTCTCCGAAATTAGATAAATATAGCTTCATGTCAATACGAACGTTACCGAACACTCCAAGCGGCGTTGAATCGTGGACAAAACGGTGTTTTTTCTGACCTAGCCTTTGGAGTCACATCATTAGGGCCGACCCTACGGTTGCTGGCGCCCCGGGCAAACTTAACTTTGGCATCCCTTTTAATGATAATCATATACTATTTTGCAAGGAAAAACTAGGGATCAGGTATATTACCTAGATAAAAAAAACAAACAACTGAGCAATAATATTGTTTTTCAGAACTTGTATTGGAGAGTATGAAAAATTAACCTACTGATAATAATAATAATAATAAAGTTTATTTGAAAATCAAGCGTCATCCCCAAAGGCTCGAAGCGCGGTACATAGTCTAGGATATTAAAAGAGAAATGAAACAATCTATAATATACCACATTGAAATACAAAATGCAACATTGCAAAAAAAAAAACTATATACGAGAATACCCATTTTAAGTCTTGCATACCTAACAACCATAAACAAGACAGGCCAATACACATCTACAAGATAATAGCTAGATAGACAACTTCATCCCAGCAGGTGTTTGCGACATAGATATGTCTTCAAATCAGTTTTGAAAGAGTTCAGTGACTGGCTGTTTCTAAGAGTGACAGGAAGAGTGTTCCAAATTGTTGGGCCAGCAAATGTGAAAGTACGCCCCTCGTAAGTCTCCAGGCGAACACGTGGTGTCGATGGCTTATAGACACAGACAATCTTTTATGAAATCAATCTCTTCTTTGGTCTTGTAGAGATTCAGTAGAATAGCATACAAAAAAAAACTTTATTAAGCCACGAATTTGGATTGGCTTCCTGTGTGGAAAATTATTTACGTATGATCGGTCACCCTTTTATTGCAATTCGGTTATACCGAGCTGTGTGTTCTTTGGAAATATGCAAGTTTTCAATTTGATGATCCGGTGCGGTCCACACACACCCCCTCTAGCTACGCCACTGCGGTGACCATGTTATGAGTTTGTTGAAGACTCAGGTGTGTAATTGTCATGGCCTTTTGAGCACACGGGCCGTGAATTTATTTCACTCAGTTGCGATGAAAAACAACAATGATAAAAGATACAACAGCAGCAGTTATCAGCAGTACGCCTCATTACTGTTACTACTAGGAATATGCTCATTTGAGGTGAGTCACGTCAAGTTTGTTAAACGCTTTAAAAAAAGAAAGCGTACTAAGTGTTACTAGTGTTAGAGTTTGTGAGGGTGTTGACACTTAAGAAAATAAATTCGAAGAAATCTGCGCCACTGCCCCAACCTCCAGCAAACGAAATGCATATCTTGCACTCGTCCGTCCACTACTAGGATATGGTGTATCATTTGGGACCCATACCTAAAGCAAGACGTGGACAAGATGGAGCGAATCCAAAGTAACGCAGTGCGCTTTATCGAGCGTGAATAAAAAATCCACCACTCCTGGCTTCGTCACTGGCCGCTTAAAAAGATTCGACATCCCTTTCCTTACAGACAGACGAGGAAAGCTCCGCCTGATATCCTTATATAAAGTGGTCATGGGGCTAGTGCCGGCCATCCCAGCAAACACATATCACACCCCACATAAGCCGGGATAGATAGATGGATGGATCGTTGGATGGTTGGGTGTATGGATGGATGGATAAATGGATGAATGGATGGATAGACGGATAGATGGATAGATGGATAGATAGCTAAACGCTCACTGAACATCGATTTCACCTCTTGAAACCCCATAAGCAATTACACTCGGAGCAATAGTAAATGCTTCACTCTGCCTCGGTGTTCACAGTGCAGTATAAACAATCATTCTTCGCATGCACAAGAATGGCTTGGAACTACCTGGACAGTGCCACCGTAGACTCGACATCGATCGAAAGCTTTAAGGCTGCCGTGGCATCTGCTGGAAGCTGTTAGATTAGCAAGATCGCTTCCCCAACCGTTGCATATGTGCCAGTATATGGATGCAGCAACGAACACTACCTGTACCAGAACCAGAATAACAGATTTTCCCTTTTTAATTGATGTGTAGTCTTTGAATGTGTAGTGCGTGACTAGGTCAACGGCGAATACGCCATTTCTGTAACATTTCGGTCGGTGATTTACTGCTTTTATACCTACAATGCTTCAAACATATTTTTTAATTGATACGTTTTCGGATTGAGGGGTACTTTTGTGCTGCATGATCGTTCTAGTATGCGTCTGTTTTCTAACTCACTTTTACTAAATTACTTGACATATTGTTTCCTACTGGGATGTTGTCTCACTGTTTAAAATACTTAAGGGATTTTTAAATGCTCTCGAGGAATTTGATTAGATAATTTTCATTTTTTTGGGGTAGTGGGACTATTTCATGTGCTTACTTCCCCTAGTGTCAAAACATGGCTACGCCACTGACCTGTGGTGGGTGCCGCCTACGAATGACTCTGGAAGTGACTAGATAAATATTGTTTAACGCAGTAGAAGTGATTAGTCTTGTTTCCCAGAATGTGTGACTAGTCTGGTAGCCCAGAATGTGTGAATTTTCTGGTAGCCCAGAATGTTTGAATTGTCTGGTAGTCCAGAATGTGTGACCTGTCTGGTAGCCCAGAATGTGTGACTAGTCTGGTAGCCCAGAATGTGTGACTAATCTGGTAGCCCAGAATGTGTGACTAGTCTGGTAGCCCAGAATGTGTGACTATAAGAGTGGTAGCCCAGAATGTGTGACTATAGCGTGGCAGCCCAGAATGTGTGACTATAGCGTGGCAGCCCAGAATGTGTGACTATAGCATTGTAGCCGAAAATGTGTGACTAGTCTGGTAGCCAAGAAGTTTTGACTAGTCTGGTAGCCCAGAATGTGGGACTAGTTCAGTAGCCTAGAAAAAAAAATGACTAGGCGGAGATGTCGTTCTCCGCTCAACTGTGAAAAATGTCAGTCACAGAAATTACGCTTTTAAAATGTCTGACCCATGTCAACTGTTAGTCTTTAATACAATGAGTTATGTAACAATGATTTTAAGCTCATAATGTTGTGGTGAACTTATGCGGCGGATGGCAATCTTTCTTTCTTTTTTTTTTTTTTTTTTTGAAAAGCCACTCTTACATTTTATCTACAAATTAGATATTAAGGGTGGGAGGGGGTAACATGCAGGAGAGGATTGTAACTGTCTTCTAGAGACCCTAGTAGATCCATAAATGTCTGACCCATGTCAACTGTTAGTCTTTAATACAATGAGTTATGTAACAATGATTTTAAGCTCATAATGTTGTGGTGAACTTATGCGGCGGATGGCAATCTTTCTTTCTTTTTTTTTTTGTTTGAAAAGCCACTCTTACATTTTATCTACAAAATAGATATTAATGGTGGGAGGGGGTAACATGCAGGAGAGGATTGTAACTGTCTTCTAGAGACCCTAGTAGATCCAATGCCACGGGTTGTCGATGACTGATCTTTTGGGTTAACATGTTTTGTTCTGTCCCCTTTTTATGTAATAGCGTAGTGACGCCGTTGGGCTAAACTTTGACACAGTTCTGGCTGATATTTACAGATAACTTCCGATTAATCATGCGATAGATGAACAATGACCGTTATCATTTAAAATCGATAAGTGATATAAAGACATATCATACGCGTCTGAGACAAGGCTTAAAAAGGTTGGTTTAAAAAAACTATCTACTAGTATTTTGTAGGCAATAAATATAGTAAAGCTTTAATATATATATATATATATTTATGACAATGAAGAGCTTCATTCCCGTTTGTTAAGGGTAATGTGATTATTTCCCTGTAAATCCTCTGAGCTTTTTCCTACAATTTTTCCATTAAATGTATTTTTGTGTGTGTTTGTGGGGGCTCGGGGAACTACCTGTACCTCTTTCACAAGTGCATTTTCTCAGAAGCCTAAACACAGAATTATAATTTTCTTATTTTTAAATTATTATTAATGAACGACTCTGAATGAGTCTTATCGCATGGGGTTGTCTGGTGTGACTCGCTCAATGATTGAAACATTTCACGTTCACGCACAATTCATAACGGATGCCGAGTTTGGAAGTGTTATAATATAAACAAAGAATGTAACTTAAATAAAGAGTTTATTTCTGATGTTGTTTCCACTTAACAGGCTGACAGAGTTGAAAAAATGGCTACTTCTGCTGCAGACAACACTGAACGTGTCAAGAGCGCACTTGCCCTTGCCAGCACCGGCGATGTCCAAGGACTAGTGAAAAGATTGGACAGGCTCGGCGTGGACATAAATCGCATTTACACGGATAGGAAGACGCTGCTCATGAAAGCCGTCGAGAAAGGGGACCAGAAAGCCACAAAGACCATCCTCGCAGCCGCTTGCGACGTCGACGTTCAAAACTCGGACGGCGAGACGGCAGCCATGATCGCAGTTCGTTCCCGCAGGTTGGATTGTCTGAAGGTCCTCATCGAACACGGGACCAATCTGGAACTCACCAACGGTCTAGGGGAGACGGCGGCTATGATCGCTGAAAAGAACAACCAAAAGAACTGTCTAGCTCTTCTCACGGAGGTCGGTGGAGCCAAAGGCTGCCCCAATGTTGAACTGTTGTACCCGAAAGCGATGAAAATCGGCGTCCCGTTTAACACTGATTTAACCTGGGATACCCTGACCCTTGAGGAGTGTCATGGGATTGAACGGATGACAAGGAATAAAGACCAGGCGGCAACAAGACTCAGCCACACGAGTAAGAGAATCACGTGTTCAATATTTGGGGACGCCTACTACTATGAAAACAACGAGACCCGAAGAGAAATCAGGGAGATCTTTCAAGACAGGAGTAACCCGACCGAACCTTGGACCCGCTATAATCTGAACACGCTACCGGTGGCACGAGATCGGTACACACGAACCACCAAGCATCACGTCCACGATATTGGGATTGTGATCCATCCTCAGGTTCCGTTTCTGTGTGCCGCGCCTGCAGGGAAGGTCTGCTCATACCCAGATGCCGAGACCGGCATACTCCAGATAGTGTGTCCTTACGCCATCAGGGACATGACGGTTTCGGACGCGTGCAGGAGAGACACGTTCTGCTTGTTGAAGACCGGACCCAAGGAATTTGCGCTGAAGAAGGGACACAAGTTTTACTACACGGTACAGGGTCAGCTGATGCTCACCGGGGCCTCGTTTTGTGACTTCGTTGTGTACACGACCAGGGATATGGAGATCATAAGAATTAAACCCGACAGGCAGGTGCAGAAAAGACTTCTTCCCAAATTGGTGGAGTTCTACTTCAAGCACGGTGTTAATCATCTAAAAAAACTCTAAACCTATAATAACTATCAGAGTTAATCATCTAAAATAACTCTAAACCTATAATAACTATCAGAGTTAATCATTTCGAAAACTCTAAACCTATAATCACTATCGGTGTTGATCATCTAAAACCCTCTAAAACCTATAATTTCTTTTTGAAGAGTAAAAAAAAAAATAATTCATAATCTTTGACCTGGAGTCATGAATGTCCCACACTGATAGGCTCAAAAATTGTTTTGTTCTATATTTTTTGGGGGGGGGTTGTTTTTTATAAAGACAAACAATTTTTATCGATACTGTTAAATACACATTTTTTCCTGAAATGTATCGATACTTTTTTTTGTGGTAATAATCGTCGAAACAAATTATATTGACAGCCGGATAATGTGTCAATTTTTTTCTATGTTTATTTTAATATTGTCTCTGGAGGAACGTATTTCTTAGTTATTTTACTATTGAAGCACTATGTAAGATTGGTTTATTTTTATTTTGTTGTAACTTTTGTGTATGCATTTGTAAAATCGGTTATTCCGATCCTCTATATAATATATTTAAATGATAGTATGATCCTATCGGAATGTCCCGCTCAAAGCTACCTTGTAATTTTGTTCTGTTACTTATATGTCATTCTTTGTTAAAAGGGATTTCAAAATAAAAAAAATTGTGTACGAACTAATAAACCCCACTTCATTTTTTCCCCTATTCTATTGGTGTTGTAATCTTACCTTCTTCTCCTACATAATTGGGAACCACGATCAATGTAGTGATCAATCTGGCTCCTATGCATGTAGAAGGGATTTTCAATATTTCTGTGCCTGGTATTAAAGATAATATTTCACTGGCTGCAAGGGCTACTCAGTGAGGGTATCATGAACTGGGGTTTGGAAGTCCTGGGGCAATAGACACAAGTGTGTAAAGTGTTGTCGCCTCAACTGTTCCTTTTGAAGGCATAAGAATATAACTCTAGGTCAGGGGCGTGAACAAAATAATTGCTTAGCCTCTGCTGAGGGGGTGCAGCACAATTTGGAGTTCTTAAAAAGTGCGTTACTGGAATGAAAAGGAATGTATTGTCAAGAAACTTCAGTAGATTCAAAGTTGACGCATTTCGGCCGCCATTGCTTGGCGTGCAATAACTAACTAGCCAACCAATGAAATGTGTTTTATATGATTAATTAAAATGTAAACTTTTTTTGAATGAGATAAAGATAATGATTGCTGGACTGCATTCAAGTTGTGTAAATGAAGTATAAGACCAAGGTATGCTAAACTTGAATTAAGAGACAGGAAAATTTGGAACAATAAAAGAATGTTATCTGATTTACTAAGCAAATTCCACGTAGATGAAGCAGTTTTAATGCGCAACTTGTCATTCGTTTACCGAAGTGATTATTTCATTTTATAACCGTTGTTACCTCCGAAAGTCCCTGACCCCCTGTCTACACCTTAAGTTACACCATTAATAATATTTCATTTTGATTGAAATGAAAGGTTCACCTTAGAATCCAAAATCAGAGAGACATGACTGGATTCATCTTGGCGAAACTGTCCTAATGTTGTACTTTACTCTGGAGTATTCAAAAATGTACATTTTATTTAATCTACAAGTTCAGCATAAAAAATTCTTCTTAAATTATAAAACAAAAACTACAAAAAAAAAAATAAAAAAAAAATTAGAAACTCTAAATTTCTTCACATAAAAACACCTTGACTGAACACTTCTATAGACGACGCGCATTCTTACATTTTTTAAAATCTTTCAGCATGAACGCACACAAACATAATGTGTTCTGATCCTTGGGGAATGTCTCAGTGCAACTCTTTGTATTAGTGAGTTAAACTAATAAGTATACTTTGAATTAAAATAACAAGTATACTTTTATAATCAATAATGTAAACATGATATACGTAACTCCAAACCCAGAGGTCTGAATCGTAAGTAAGAAATATTTTATACAAACATTGTTATAAAAGTTAAATTTGAAAAATAAACAAAGGAACTGAATGTAATACTGGTAGCATTTAATTTAAGGACTGAATGGGACATCAAGTGTCAAATTAAACTTGGTTTTACATTTTACTGTTACACCTTCTTCTTCTTCTATATCTTAAGGGCACACGATCAATTTTTGATCATTTTGGCTTTATGCATGTAGATAGGATTTTCAATGTTTCTGTTACTGGTGGTGATGAGGAAATCATGCACTAGGGGTTTGAAGGCTTGAGGCAATAGACACAAATGTGTCTAGTGTTGTCGCCTCAACCGTTTCTTTTGAAAGATTGTTCCAGTCCCTGATTGTCTTGGGCAGGAATGAGCAGCTCCTATACTGGCTTCTTGCTGGAATTAGCCTGAATTGCCTCTTATGGCCTCGTCACTGTCTATGGGGAAGAGGGACGAGTTTCTGTTTAATACTGGAGCAGTGGACCAGCCCATTATTTATCTTGTACATCATGGAGAGCCTGGATTGTTGTCGTTTCTCCAATGGTGACCAGCCTAGTGTTTCTAGCATGCTGCCAACACTAGAGGTATTCCTGTAGCGGTTTAGGACAAAGCGTGCTGCTCGTCGCTGGACCGCCTCCAAAATGCTCTTCTGGGTAAATGGGTCCCAGACTGAAGATGCTTAATCTAAAATCAGACGGATAAAGGCTTTATATGCTCTTTCTTTCACAAAGGAGTTGCCAATCTTTAGATTTCGCCTTAAGAACCCTAAGGTCTTGTTTGCTTGGTTACATACATTGTTAATATGCTCGTCTCAGCGGACCTCTCTTTGAATGGTAACACCCAGGTACTTTACTTAGGAAACTTGCTCAAGTATATGGCCGTGCAATGATTGTGCAATGGATCGTGCCTCTAACACCACCAACGTCTGCCACCAACTCGAACAAGTTAAAGTTAAAAAAGGCCTGGCACTACCGAATGCTTCTAGGGTAGCTTCGTCTGTTGGAGACTCCTGAGTTTAGTCACACATTAGGGCATCTTCTTCAACACTCACAAGTTAAGGAAACAAGCCTCTGACTACCGAAAGCTTCTAGTCTAGATTCGGCTGTGGGAGATTCCTTAGTAAAGTACCACATTAGGATAGTTCAGTCAACCCAAAATCCCCAGATGAAGCCAGTCATGTCGCTTTAAAACTGAAATTTAAGGTGAACCTTTCATTTTAATTTAATTGAAATTTTATTAATGGTGTAACTTAAGGTGTTTTTAGGGGGGCGGGGTAAGAGACTTTCGGGGAGGGGGGTGGGGGGACAACAGTAATAAAATAAAATAGAATAAATCACTCGGTTAAACGAATAATTAGTTAGGTTTTAAAACAACTTCATTCGCACGCCATTCGTTTGGTAAAAAGGATAAGATAAGATATTTTTATTATTGCAATTAAATTTTAATGGATTTGATTACATTTAACACAATAAATTTAAGCACATGGATGTATAAATATCGTAAACAAAACACATTTTTCATAGTTTTACAACATCCTTTTTTCCAATTAGTTCTTCAAGTGCATGATGTTATGTTTTCCTGATTATTAAGTTTAAACGGTGTTTGATGTCAGACGATGAATTCCCACATCAGCAGGGAATACTATACTGAAGTTCAGTACGATTCCAACTGTTGCACCGTAGAATAATTTCATAACTTGTTATCTACGCCGAAATTGCACACGTCTAATTTTTGTTAACGATAGAAAAGTCTTTGGTTGATTTCTATAACCATAATTTTGCCGCGCTGATGCAATGTCATCTATAATCAATGGTGACCCCCCTAGGTACTTATGTATTTCTTCTTCCTCAATCTTTTGATTGTTTGTTGTGAGATCTGCAATCGGGTGCATCCTCCTCCAAAAATCGACAAGCATTTCGATTTTGAGACACCCAACTGAAGGAGATTTTCTCAACACCCAGGAATAAACTTTTAATTGTAGCTAAGATACTGTATCAGCCTTCCACATCCGATATTAAGCCAACGCTGGTGGTATCATCAGCAAATTTAATCATTGGAAGGGTGTTGCTTGGGCTATATATTGTCCTTTAAGTGACTTATGAGGCCGATCATGGAGTGACTTATGAGGCCGAACCCCGAGTGACTTATGAGGCCGATCCTCGACTGACTTATGAGGCCGATCCTCGAGTGATTTATGAGGCCGATTCTGGAGTGACTTATGAGGTTGATCTTAGAGTGAATTATGAGGCAGATCCCGGAATGACTTATGAGGCTGATTCTGGAGTGACTCATGAGGTTGATCCTGGAGTGACTTATGAGGTTGATCCTGGAGTGACATATGTGGTTGATCTTGGAGTGACGGATGTCGCCGATTCTGTAGTGAATTATGCGGTTAATCTTGGAGTGACTTATGAGGTTGATCTTGGAGTGACTTATGAGGCAGATCCCGGAGTGACTTATGAGGCCGATTCTGGAATGACTCATGAGGTTGATCCTGAAGTGACTAATGAGGTTGAACCTCGAGTGACTTATCAGGTTGATCTTGGCGTGACTCATGAGGTTGATCCAGGAGTGACTTATGTCGCCGATCATGTAGTGATTTATGTGGCCGATCCTGGAGTGATTTATGAGGTTGATCTTGGCGTGAGTCATGAGGTTGATTCTGGAGTGACATATGTGGTTGATCTTGGAGTGACTGATGTGGCCGATCCTGTAGTGAATTATGAGGCCGATTCTGGAGTGACTCATGAGGTTGATCTTGCAGTGGCTTATGAGGTTGATCTTGGAGTGACCAATTAGGTTGATCTTAGAGTGAATAATGAGGCCGATCCCGGAGTGACTTATGAGGCCGAATCTGGAGTGACTCATGAGGTTGATCCTGAAGTGACTTATGAGGTTGATCCTGGAGTGAATTATGAGGTTGATCTTGAAGTGACTCAAGAGGTTGATCCAGGAGTGACTTATGAGCTTGATTTAGAGTGACTTATGAGGTTGATCTTGAAGTGACTCAAGAGGTTGATCCTGGAGTGACTTATGAGTTTGACTTGGAGTGACTTATGTGGCCGATCATCGAGTGACTTATGAGGTTGATCTTCGAGTGACTTATGAGGTTGATCCTGGAGTGACCTATGTGGCTGATCTTGGAGTGACTAATGATTCCGATCCTGGAGTGGCTAATTGGTGTATATTATTATACTGGACAAGAGAGGGAGCGCAACCAAATCTGACCACGGTAGTTATCTCACTAGATGGGGGTATTTGATAATTCACCTTGACATAAAGTGGACGAGTTGTTAAAAAAGTTCAGCATCAA